CGTTCTGAAATCAGAACGGGCCGTTCTAAATGAACAAATAACACATAAATATTGTACCAGAACGGGTACTCTGATATCTCTTGAACTAGGTCAAAGCATTCATTCTGACGGGGGCAGCCATTCCTTAGCAGTGTGATTGCTTCTAGTGAATCAGATTCTATTAAAATGTGCGTAACCAATTTTTTAAGGTGAATTAGTCGAAGTCCTTGGGTGATGGCCCATAGCTCAGCTTTAATGACAGAGCAACGGTCTAGCTTTCTTGAGAATGCCATAATGCACCTCCCATCTAGGTTTCGAATTAAACCCCCACATGAGCTTGTCCCCGAATATGAAAACGGCCCCATCGCCATTTAACTTGATAAACCCCGAAGGAGGGCAAACCCAGTTCCTTGTGATACGTGTGTAATCTGACTGAGCTCCTGCATCAAATGGAGTGCTACTGTTAATTATTGACTTTGCACAATTCGTTACCTTGAGTACTAGTTGGCTTGCCGATAAGGACGACTGCTGAAACACAACTTCGTTTCTTCTGTTCCATAGTGCATCAATTGTGATCGCGAAGGAGAGGGGCCAGTTCATCAGCTCTGTACGACTCCTGGTTAGGTGGAAGATTAGCCACTCTTGAAAGTTACTTCCCGTGGGTTGACTGATGCAACTTCCCCTAGGTATCGAACTCCATACTTGGCGAGCAAAAATACAATCTCTTAGAACATGCATGGTATTTTCCACGTCCTGCATGCAGATAGGGCAAATTGGGCTGGTCGTTAAATCTCTACCAAAGCGAGCTTCATTCGTCATGAGGCTCTCGTGGGCCACGCGCCAGAGAAAAAGCCTGATCCTCTCTGGTCCTTGCCATGTGCCTTTAGGTATTCTTTGTATGTCTTTTTAATTGTTTTAGGACTGATTTTATCTCCCTTTGGACTCCTATAAATTCGGATTAAAAAAGAACTCCTAAAAAGAAACAAGATTACAAGCTTTTTACATTTCTTAATCTACTAGTTTTGTCTTAGAGTCATGTGTAGTTCTTTTACTTGTCATTAAATCCTTGTTGTGCCTTTTTATTTTCAAATCTTAATGTGTTAAACTCAGTTCTTGTATTGTGTCATTGCTGGTTTAACATTAAATAAATCTTAGTGTGCTCATAAAAGATTCCAATGCATGTTATTAGACCTAACATGTTCTAGAGTCAATTTTTGTGAACTTCTTTTGCTAATAGTTTCTTAGCAATTTGTGACCAGCAATTCCTTGTGTGTCTTGTGCTTGTTTTGA